AGTGTTAAAAATAAATTTCAAGAAGGGCGTTTCTTTATTATTTAAACTCACAGAAGAATTTCCTTACCTAAGATTTTAAATATGTAAAAATATGTAGGTAATTAGAGTATGACAGTCATTTTCCACAAGCATCATAATAAAAACAATTTAAATATTAGATGTAAGCTGACATAACTTATGAGCGCGAGATGACAGCTGGCATAGTTAAACAACCAGTTTTATCAATTCCAGTGAAATCTAAACATAAAATATTTGGTAAATTATAATCTAAGAACTGTAAATTTGCTGTTTATTCTTCCGTATCATGTTTTCGTTGCCGATATTAATCCCTTTCTCAGATAAGTGTTCTAATATTAAATGTTAACATGTTAAACAACAATTTCCACAACAGATAAATGCAAATCATTTTTGCATTATAAATTAATACAATTAAGGTAATAATTAAGAATCTGATTTAAGTGCGCAGCAAACATTTAAAAACTGTATTACTATTCATATAAGCATTTCGTCTAAGAAACAAATGGCTCTTTGCAAAACATCTAAATGCTACTTGTGCCTCCTTGAATAAAAATTTGAATCTTTTGAAATATTTATACCTTTTTTTTTCCTTAAATAATCTATCCCTTTCTTCCTGAAAGCTACCGAAGAATAAATTTCCAACTCCTCAAATGCTCAAGGATTTAAAAAAAGTTTAGAAAAAAAAATAAAACCTTCTTTCAAAGATACACCATTTTAAATTGCATGTAGCATGAGCTTGCTCCCAGTTGTTCCAAATATCTATCTTACTTCAAAGTCTAATAGATCTGATCTGTATAATACGATATACAACGCACAAGGCTGTCTGAAATTTATACCAGTAAGTAGAATTAAATACCTTCTCGATGTTTAAAACTTCAGCTGTAAGCATGGGATCCATGAAAAATAGCGAAATAAAGATATATTTTGTTTTCCAAACAGAAATTATGACTTTGTGATATGTATAACTATTTTAAACTAAACTTGAAAATAAAATAATTCATCAGAAATGGGTATTACACTCCAATTAGAAATAATTAGTGTCTTGATAGTACGTGGAATCTGAGAAAAGAACCATCAGAGCAATGATACTTCGAATCAGAGATTTTCGAGTTACAGTAAAATCTGTTTCCACTTACTGTTTTGTTGTTTTCTGTTTCCGTTTATAATTGTGTTTTCATTTTCATGCCATTTAAAAATGTTATTCTAAATAAAGCAAACGTAAATGCAGAAGTGCGGTCACTTTTGATTATTTGGAAAAGTGAAATTTTGTTATTATGTATGGTTACTGCAGCTTTACAGTCTGCTAACCCCAAATATTTAAGTACATATTTAATTAACCATATGGAAGATGCAATGACATTTGACAAGAGATGCAATAAGATATTCCCGCTGCATTATACGGAAGCGGTAGTAAGGCATGTGTATATTTCAACTAGAAATAACAGGAAATAATTTAACTTGATGCTCAAATTATACAGCATTCCTTTGAATTAAAAGCACACAGGCAGTGAGCAGGACATTATAATTTCACCATTGGTCTTACAGGTAAAGTTCCGAAGTTCTGCCCTAAAGTTAACGAAGAAAATCCCGAAGGAATGTATCCCATGATCTCCCATCCATTGCCCCTACTAAAATACTGTTAGACAGGATAATGGTCAGTGACGTCGGTTGCCGTACCGAAAGGCCCGGTTCGAACCGCGGAGAAGGTATGAAGATTTATAGACGTTAGTGTCTGTCAGCTAAGGGACACACGAAATGCACATGGAGGCAAAGTGTCTGTCACCCAAGGGACATACGAAATGCACACGGAGGCAAAGTGTCTGTCAGCTAAGGGACACACGAAATGCACACGGGGGCAAAGTGTCTGTCAGCTAAGGGACACACGAAATGCACACCGAGGCAAAGTGTCTGTCAGCTAAGGGACACACGAAGGCAAAGTGTCTGTCAACTAAGAGACACACAAAATGCACACGGAGGCAAAGTGTCTGTCAGCTAAGGGACACACGAAATGCACACGGTGGCAAAGTGTCTGTCAACTAAGGGACACACGAAATGCATACGGAGGCAAAATCCTTTCGAGAGGTTAGTGATAGAAAAGAGGAGTGGGAGACCCCGGGCTGTGCAGAGGTAGATTTTTCCTGAGAATTTCAATTGTGGTCGAAGCTGTGCAGTTGGCAAAGCCTGGTAATACCTAATATGCCTAATAAGATACGCAGGTGCAGCTTTGAATCCGCCTGTACCTATAGCACCAAACAACTCAAGAAGTCTTTCGGCCCGTCAGTATTTATTTTAAGTGATCTATACCGTACAGACACCATACACTTGCAAGCATCCATACCTGGATCGTTCAGGATTCGATCCTGGGTCTAGACTCAGAATTGCTAGCTAGTCTATCGATAACCACTACACATAAAATCCACTGCAAATTCTCATTAATCTATGAGTTTAAAGATGCTCTTGCGCAATATCTGTAATTATTTTATAAACAAGAATTATAATTTTTTTTTGATGAGAACTTAAGCATAATAATAATGCAAGAATTTAATGAAGCAATTTAACAATTTTCAAAGCAATTTTTACATCTAGAGAAGATTGTTTAAATTACGCAATCTAAAAAAAAATTTTATAGCAGGTTTTTTTCTAACATATTTTATTACAAATCGTTGATTTTATGTATACTTGCATTTCATGAGCCAAATTCTAAATACGAGAAATGAAACAAAAAAAAATACATATTACGTACATGCTTACATAATTTCGCAAAACAGATCAAATCATTCAAATTGATCCAAACATTAGGGAGCATTAAACTAATTTACTGATATACAATTTAACAACATGATTGCCTTCCCTTTGCCTGAAATCTAACCGCTTTGGACACAACTGTATAATTAACGGCATTTGCAAGCTGCAGATGCAAACTGCTAATGGGTGACTGATATGTCTATAGATTCATAAACTATAGATAGAGGTGCGCAAATAAATTACAGATAAGCTATATATGCATGCACAGGATATTCGAAAAATATGAACTATATGTATTCTAAAATCTAGTTTTGTATTTCTACTTGCAACGTTATTTAAAAAGAAGTACATGTTTGAAAAAACGATTTCATTAAGTGGTTCGAAAATTCTATAAATGAAAATTCTATACAGTCATAAAATACTTAATTATGCCTACATGGCAAAATACCTAATTAACAATATGATTATTATTCTTTAATCTCTACTATTATCATATGAAAAATCTATAGTATGTGATTTCCTTGCAATGCAGTAAAACGGTGGAAAAAAACCACCAAATTTTGAAAATACATATCCTCCAAGCGAACGTCTGTTTTTCAAAGCCCAAATTTTGAATTTTTTCTTATTTTTTATTTTAAGTAAGTTAAAAAAATAATTAGCCGAAAACACGTTAGCCTGGAAGGGCTAATAATTTCGTTTTGGCATTTCGCCTTTGTTTACGATAAATGTGGGTTCAATTTACAAACTGCTGCCACTAAATCTTACAAACCTGTATTATATTAAAAAAAATAAATAATGAAGAATCGGCATAAATGTATACATGTTTCTCGAATTGTGATAAAAAAACGTTACCTAGAACTATCAAATTTTGAATAACGTAATCCTACACCGAATATAGGCATCTGGAAGACCTAATTTGGATTTTGAGTTTTTATCTATTTCATATTTTGTAAAATTTTAACGAATTTTTTATTAGCAATCTCAACAATTTCAAAGCGACCAATATCAACACCGCACGGGAAAAAAAAGAAAACATTTTTATCTGAAGCGCACGAAACTGTGTATCGGAAATTCTAAAGATACGTTCGTTTTAAAATAGTTTTGCAATACTGGTGTTGAACTAAATTTTATGGTTTACGTGCGAAGACCATGATGTTTACTAAATAAGGGTAACACACAAAACGTCAAAAAAAACGCCCGTTTGGGAGTAATGTAAAATCTGAAAGCTTTCGGACTTTTAATTATTTTAATTTTTTTTTTAATATTCGCGAGATCAATGCTTTCATTACTTCCGCATTCACACTGTTATAATGATGCACGCGTCCTTTTTAACTTCCAGCATGAGCGATTAAAATATAAAATCTGCAGAATAAAATTCTGGAGAACATTAATTCTAAAATGCTAAAGCATCTGGATTAAAAATTAATGTTTTGTAGTTTGTTAACAAGATAATTATTATGTACCATTCATTTTAATAGCGAGAGTATTTATTTTTTAAATTTAATTTTTAAGTAACAATTTGCGCGACTCGACTTCCGTCTGGTCTGCGTAACTGGTGGCTTGTGAGCCCAAATATTTACTGAAAATTCCTAAGTATCTAATTCATTTAGACCAAAAATAATTTTCGGAGGTTGTACTACTTTATTGTTCTATCTTTTATATAAATTTAATAAAGGGTGCCGTAATTATGTAGTATATGATCTACCATTTTATTTATATCTTAACGAGCACAACTAAAATGTTGTTTTCAAATATAAAAATAGTTACAAAAGAAAAGAAATCAAAATTTGTTAATATTTTTTTATGTTCTAACTAGGCATAGAAGGTTGCCAGCCTGTTCTGAGATTACTCCTTCTAACACAATTTTTTTACGTTTTTACCTTTAGCTTTTTATTAAGAAAATCACAAAATATTTAAAAACAGAATAGGTTCAGCTTTGCCGATAGGGTTGTAGAACCATTAGTTACTTTGAAACAAGAGACATGTAAAATTAGCAATGACCTCGCAGAGACTCGAACATGGACCTCTCGAATACAGACCAAGTGTGCTACAGTTACACCACGAAGGCATGCAGAACGGAGAAAATATCTTAATACCTTTTAAAGGGCAATTGGGGATCAGAGGACGCTGTCACTAAATCCTAGTAGTGAAGAATCATCATCCACCACCTTTTAGTTCGGGCGCCACTGTAGAGACAATAGGTATTTTTGAAGCAGGAGTACTTGAAAAATGTGTAATGCCCTCGCCGGGATTCGAACCTGGACCTCTCGAAACGCGTCGAGTATGCTACCATTGCACCACGAAGGCATGTAGAAAGGAGGAAGAAAATACCTTATAAGGCGTTAGGGGTTACCATGCATGTTTTTAAATGTTTGCTATTTTACTTCTTTGAAAGCCAACAGCGTAAAATAATAATCACAAAAGAGAAATATATATATATATATGATAGTTTTAGTAAGTATAGATAATTCCATTTCATAAAAATATTTAAAGTTCCTAATTAGGCACTCCTGATTTAAATGCATTTTTGTTTTAAATCAATCAGACATAAAAAGTTGAATAAATATTTTTAGCAACAGCGTTTCTTGCTTTTAAATCACTTGGTTTGCTACTTACTAGCACAGAGATTAAATTTGAAAGTTAAATATCCCTACGTTTTACTGAATGGCAAAATGCTTGTGCGTGGAGAGATAATAAGAATTCCAATTTGAGGCAGTGGTAACACATTGCTTTCAAACAGCCGAACTAGAGGATTAAAAATTAAAGGTTACATATTGCCGAATGGCAAAAGCCTGGCGAGGTGGAGATGACGAGGTGGAGGAGGACGAGAAGTTTTACTTCGAAGAGTGGCGTCACTTATAGATTTCAAATTGCGGAGTTGGTTAAATAGACTCATTATTGTTTTACAAGATATGGAATAAATAGTAAATGAAATTCGAAGTTTAAAATGTACTCATGTTCGGATATAGGGTTACGTGTATTCGGTGCCCTAGGGGGAAGTCGTTTTCACGCAGTACGAGGAACACCCATGCATCAAGTGACATTTGATGGCAATAGTTTGAATTGTGATTCGGGCACAAAAGTTATGTTTTGAAGTATAGCGAATTTAGGTATGACCCTGAACTTTAAATAAATCCATAAAAATAAATAGAAGAATTCCTGTAGGTGTTGAAGCAATTGATAATCTCTCAAGCTGGACAAAAAAGTTTATGACTTATTATTTCTTTTCCAGTATTTTGGATGAGAGAAACACCCTGGCAGGAAAGGACATGGCCTTTTCATCAAGATTATCCATAAATGCTTATTGGATAATTACGTAATATGCAGCATTACCCTTGGAAGAAATTTAATTATAATCCATTATCTCAAAGTTTTAACTTATAATATATTTTCTCCCTCTTCCAAGCATGCCTTCATGGTGTAACGGTAGCATACTCGACGCGTATTCGAAAGGTCCAGGTTCAAGTCTTGGAGAGAGCATTGCACATTTTCACGTCTCCTGCATCAAAGTATCTTACTGACTCTATAGTGGTGCCCGAACTTAAAGGTGACGGATAATAATCCACCAGGACAGGATTTGGCAACCGGGTCCTCTAATCCCAACTAGCTGTTTAAAAGGGGGGTACCTCATTAACATAATCATTATAAGGGCACAACTCCTATCCTCCTAGCCGGCACAAGCCGGCCGTATGATGAAAAAATGGGACTGGCCAGAAAGAAAAAAAACAAATATAAGAAGGGGAAAAGTCCAAAATCGGAGTCTCAGTACTGAATTCCAATTCTCTCTTTGTTCGTATTTATAATTTTCATTATTGTCTCTGCAAAATCTTTCAGATTTGAATAGTAGGGGGAGTACAGATATTTTGTCTCGCCTTCCATCATGCCTTCGTGGTGTATTCTCGATGGGTATTCGAGGGGTTCAGGTTTGAGTCTCGGCGGGGGCATTGCACATTTTTCATGCCCCCTGCTTCAAAACTCCTAATGACTCTACAAGTTCTAGAGGTAATTTAGGGTTGTTGAACTTTCTGGCTGCAGTATGGCATTTACTTATGTTTATTTATACAAGATTTTAATTTGTTTACCGTTTAGGTTAAAAGAAGTGAAGCTGGAGTATAAGGACACTTATCTGTAATGCAATAACGAATAGAAAGTTAAATAAAATTATTTACCTGTGGAAAGTTAATCATATTTCTTTGAAATGAAATAACTTTTCTGTTACATTTATCAAAGTACTGCATTTTTCTCTAGTAAATTCTGTATCACCGCCATACAATATTCGTATCTTTGAAACTTGAAATACGATAGCGACTATTCAATTCCTTTCCCTTAAGGCACAACTCTAATCGAGAAAAACGAAGAAAATTCCCCAGGATGCCCATTAATATATTACCAGAACCTCGTTGTATCCCATTCATACTAAACCTCGCTCCTTGATGTACACAGAGCGTTTTACTCTTTCGGTAGTGATTGCGGCAATCTCCAGGCTTTATCCATCTATGCAGTCTCTATGATTGTGAGCATCAGGAACGTCATACTTGGGTCCCGGATGATTGATGTATGGTTTTTCTGTCTCTGTGAGAGAGATGATCGATTTGGCCTTTCTTCTAAAGCGCTGCACTTGAATAAGGATGTGATTGGGCAGATTCTGTTGTTGTTGTTGCTGACTCGCTGCATGTCGAGACGGGTCAGGAAATAAATAACCTGCCAGAAGGTATTGATTATTACCGATGAAAAGTGTGTTTCAAAAAAGAAGTAGCAACGAAGAATAGCTTCTGCAGAAGACTGATTGCTAAATTTATTCATCACTTGTGTATTAGAAGTGGATAGATACATCTTGAGATTAAAAAACACAAATTCTTCTTCATGATTTTATTCTAATCCCCCCTTGAAAAAAGACTTTTATTTTCAAATGGTGGCAAAGCTATTTTTTGTTCTCTCTCACAAAAGGCACCTTGGAAAACGGAGGAGAAAAAAGAAAACAGCAGCAGCATAGATAATTAAAATTTCAGTTCAACATCAATCGCATCATAAGAAAACGCAGATGAATTGAGAGTTCCTACCATGAATACCTAATCGACTCTTTCATAATGACAGAAATTGCAAGTTTATGACAAAGTATGTGAATTAAATTCATAAACTCCAAACTTTACGAAATAAATATTTTTGAATTATAAACCAGCAGAAATTATTTTTTCAATGCCGGGGTCTAGCATTTTATAGGTGTTGGCCACTACTAAAGCCAGAAGTGGTGGTCTCTTTATTATCGGGGTTCCTAATAGCTGGGTCACCGTTGCTTCCTATGAACAAAAAACAAATATCTACTCCTTTTGTGAGGTTCGAACCCTGGCCCTTTGGTAGGGCAATCAGTCACTAACCATTTTCCCTTCTAGGCGACCAGCAAGGAATTATAAAATATTCCCTTTAAACAAAGCATAACTCTAATAGTTGGAGATTTAATAAAATTAAGATGCATAAATTCAATCGTTTGAGTAAAATTAAATCAAAACCCAAAGAAATACAGGCACTTGAATCTATATGTTAAAATATCACTTTTTTATTAATTATGTGCTTCATTTTTATACACGTGACTGCAAATAAATTTAGAAAATAATTCCGGAATTACAGTATAGATCTACAGGATTAGGACGAAGAAATGTTGTTAGAATGGTATTGTTTCTTTAGCAACAGCAACAAGCTTGAATCTATTAAATTTATAGACAGCTTATGCTCTGTTTTGCCCCCCCCCCCCATTTTTATTTTTGGCGACATAATTTTTTTTATAAGCAAGACTTCAAATCCTACTGAATGATACAGAAAGTCCTACACTATGTAAAAATGTTTGTAATTCCATTATTTGACATAGATGAATAATCAGTCGGTTACAGCCGGAAACATCGCGGCAAAAACATCGCGGACGAAAACGTCGCAGAGAAAACAACGCAAGACGAAAGCGTCGTGCTACAAAACATCGTGGGAGAAAACATCACAAAGAGAAAATATCGCACTTCTAAAACATCTTGGTACAAAACATCGTCGTCGAAAATAAAGCGGTTCAAAAACTTCGCAGTTTGAAAACATCGTAGTCGAAAATATCATGGTAAAAAATAAAGTATCTACAAATCATCGCATGACGATAACATCGCAGACATGCTTTTTTCAGGCTTTAATAACTGTAAATAGATATTCCCATAATAATTTGTGAGCGCAAAATGTAAAGAAGGATAATTTTTACTTTCACATTTTTTATTAACTAAATTTTTGCGGAAAAGTAAGAAGGAAACTTAAGCATAGAAAATTAAATGCAACTTATATATTATACGTTTTATGAAAAATTACCAGTAAAAACTTTATAAAAATTATTTATTAATGGTCTTGTTAGTTAACTATGTCGGTTTAAAATTCTATTAAGTGCTATAAGTTGCATTAATTTTCTATGCTTAAGTTTCCTTCTTATTTTCTGCGGCCGAGCGGTAAAGTCGCTGAACACTGGTAGTTCGGTCCGAGGTTCGAATCCCGCGGACGGGCTGGCTGCATGGGTGTTTTCGTGGTTTTCCCCATGTGTAACTTTTATAAGAGCCAGTTTCCCTTAAAAAGTCCTCCACGAAGGCATCCCTCCCTTAAGGCAGATAGTCCTCGAGTGCTTTGCTGTAATCTAATAAACCAAACCAAACCTTCTTATTTTCTCAGCAAAAATTTATTATTTAATATAAAATATGAAAAACAAATTATCCTTTTTTCCATCTTGCGCTCACAAACTATTATGTGAATATCTATTTACAGTTATTAAAGTCTGAAAAAAGCATGTCTGCGATATTATCGTCACGCGATGATTTGTACATACTTTAATTTTTACCACGATATTTTCGACGACGATGTTTTTAAACAGCGAAGTTTTTGAACAGCTTTATTTTCGACGACGATGTTTTGTACCACGCTGTTTTAGAACTGCGATGTTTTCTCTTTGCGATGTTTTCTCCCACGATGTTTTGTAGCACGACGTTTTCGACTTGCGTTGTTTTCTCTGCGACGTTTTCGTCAGCGATGCTTTTGCCACGATGGTATCGGCGGATACCAATCAGTCAATTAACAAATTATTTAATTTTCTAGGATGTACAATGATAAAAACACTTACATATACATGGCACAAATAAGATGTCATAACCCCTTTTCGTGCAATACAACATTGCATATATAACGTGAAAATATTGATATTCAACTTGAAAATGATGTCTTGAGCATATTGCATATATAACGCTAATACTAGCCAGTTGTCCTTAGAAAATTCTCCACAAAGGTAACCATCCTCC